TGTTGGGCTGCTGCAGGGGGAGCCACTGCAGCTGGAAGTCTTGGGGGATAAAGGATTTGCAGGAATCTTGATTGGGCTAAAAACAAAAGAATGAAAGCTAAAAATTAAAAATGGATCAATTTGTTTGTCAATGGCCGATTCTAATGTCGATTTTTTAAAATCACTGCAGCTGACTGATGATGATTCTTTAGTTTGTCGTTGGCCCATAAATACAACAGTTTTATATTTAAAATTTTTGATTTGACAGTACTATTTCGCTCTCAGCTACCGCCACACCAAATTTCTGCTCTATATGTGTAAAGATAGTCGAGTTAAAGCCATTTAAATTTAGCTTTGTTGGTCATCTTGGATTTTTTTATTTGAATTCAGTATTTATTGAGCGCTGCTCTCAGCTACCACCAAACCAAACATCAGCTAAATAGCTCTAAAAACCTCTGAGTAGTATCCATTTGAAATTAGCTTCAGAGGCCATCTTGCATTTTCACATTTGTATTCGGAATGTGTTGTGCATCGCTGTCGGGTACCACCACACCAAATTTCAGCTCAATACCTTTAAAAATAGCGTAATTATCACATTTTTTCCCCTTTTAGCTAAGTCAACCATCTTGGATTTTTAATTTGCGTCAGAAATGTATAACAATTCGCTCTCAGCTACGACCACCAAATTTCAGCTCAATATCTCAAAGAACGACTGAGTTATACGTATTTTTCGCTCTGTAAGTCACAGTTTTTTGCATAATTTGCATGCCCTGCGAATTATATGCTGAAGTGACAGATTTACTCTGACCCACATCTCTGGGTTTGACTCACATTTCCGGGTTATCAGCAGTGACGCGTAACAGATGCGACGTATACGGCGAAACGACTTATTTAAGTATTTTTCCACTTTATTAGACATATTTGGACTGATGCGACTTACAGGGCGGTGCGACGTGTACGGCGGAAAGCACGGTAGTCAATTTAGAGTTTTCTGAGGTAGCTGTGGCAGCCATCTTGATCCAAAACGGCTCCAAAAGTTAACCAGTGTTTTGTTCAGAGACCTCTTCTCTCTCGGTCATGTGACCTCACTGTGGCAGTTAGAAGGTGTTTAGAGCTCTGTCA